TTTTTTTTTTTTTTAATTTTATTTATTTATTTGAGAGAGAGAGAGAGAATGAGTGGGGCATGGGGCAGGAGAAGAGGAAGCAGACTCCCCACTGAGCAGAGAGCCCGACACGGGCTCGATCCCAGGACCCTGAGATCATGACCTGAGCTGAAGGCAGACGCTTAACCGACTGAGCCACCCAGGCGCCCCCCTCTTCCTCCTTTGAAGGGCCCTTGTGAGTGTGCTGGGCCCACCCAGGTAACCCAGGACAATCGCCCCATGTCAAGGCCCTTAGCTTAATCAAATCTGCAAAGTCCCTTTTGCCATGCAAGGTGTCACAGGGGCTGAGGACTAGGCTGCCAACCTCTTAAGGGCCCACATTTCTCAGAGGCCACAGGCTTCCCGCTCCCGTGGATGATGGGTGAGGAGGGCGAGGTAGCCTCTCTGTTCCCTGCATCTGCTTCTGGCCGAGAGGAACAACATCCTCCCGGCCCGTCCAGAGGTGGTGGCAAGCCCACTGCTGAGGGCCAGGTGCGGTGTCCTCTGCCTACAGAGCCCTCTGGGAAATGGGCCTGCGCCCTGATCGAGGACAGCTAAACCCTATGAAATTCCACCCCCGGGGACCGCAGGCACGGCCAGTGCGGCGGCACCCGGCACCCGTGCAGCAGAAGCAGGATCCCGGCCCTCCTCTCAGAACACGAGCTGATAAAGCACGAGAATGATTCTGACCCCAGAAATATATATTCCAACCCTTGGAGCTTTACAAAAGTCCTCACACAGAATTCATAAGCCTCAGCATCAGCCTGTTCTCATGTCAACAAGGAGGATTTGGTGTGTCCCTTTACCTCTGCATGACTCGCTGAAGTGATGTGGTCTGACCCACGCCTCAGAGGTGGGAACGTGCCCACTAGGAGAAGTTCTGGAAACGCAACTGGCCACTTGCCCTGATGGGTGACAGGTGACAAGTGCACGTGTCCCAGCCTGTCACCAGGAACATGGGACCAATATGAGCAACGAAAGGCTCTTTGTCCTTTTTTTTTTTTTTATTTGACAGACAGAGATCACAAGTAGGCAGAGAGGCAGGCAGAGAGAGAGAGAGAGAGAGAGAGAGAGGAGGAAGCAGGCTCCCCGCTGAGCAGAGATCCCAATGTGGGGCTCGATTCCAGGACCTTGGGATCATGACGAGCTGAAGGCAGAGGCTTTAACCCACTGAGCCACCCAGGCGCCCCGACTCTTTGTCCTCTTATATAGCAGACAAACCAACACAACACCCCAGGACCGCCAGGTCCCCCTCAAAGCCTGTGACTGACCGCTTTCCAAATGGAAACCCCTTCTGCCAGACACATGGGGCCCCCCAGCAAGTCGCCACCTTGCTGGCCTCAAACAGCACGCGACCATGTCATACGGCGGAAGGCCAGAAGTCTGCAGCAGGTATCTGCAGGGCCCAGCCCCCCCCTGCAGGCTCCAGGGGACAGTCCTTCCCTGCCTCCTCCTGGCCTCTCGAGCAGCCTAGTCCCCAGTCACCCGACCCCCCTGCTTGCCTCAAACAACGATACCTCCTCAGTTAGGTTTGAAGGAAGAAGAAATCCATTTTGCTCTTCAGAAGGGAGCTCGCAGATGGAATGTCCCCAAGCACCAGGTAGGTGACGAATGAATGAAGCTGCCGGAGGGGGTACAGCTGACCCGAGGACACACGCCCCCTCTGACGGGGGACTGAGGGTCAGTCCCAGGCCAGCCCGGTGCCAGCGAGATTCTCCAGTTTTTCGAGAGAAATAGGACACTCCTGGTTTTTCAGCGTTGGCAACCAATCCAGATTTATTTTAAGCATCGTGTGGGCCGAGCACACACCTCTGCAGGCCGCATCCGGCATGCCCATCTGCAACTTCTGTCGTCCCTTCCTTAATGTTCCGAAAATAGACTATTCCTGTCTTTCACACTTTTGTTGCATTTCCTGTAGGTTTTTCCATGTTAGAATGCCTTTGCTTCCCCTCCCACTGGCCACAGATTTCCAACCTTTAGGGAAAGTCCCCTCATTTGCTCTCCCACCCTCTTCCTCGTCCACCTCTCGCCCCTGGGATGCAGCCACGTGCCCAGCGAGCGCGTGCTGAGAGCCCGCCATGACTGGCACTGCCCCAGACACAAATACAGAGGTGAACCGAACCGACTAACACCCGTCTTCAGCAGAGCTGGCCAAGGCAGGCGTTCGGCAGTGGCAAAGAAGGAACGTGTGTCGTGAATGGATGTGAGATGACAGCGGAGGCCAAGTCGGGAGGGAGTGGGAGCCGGGAACAGCATGGCACGGCCAAGGCACAGCCACAGAGGCAGAGTGGCGGGCCCTACTCAGTGCCAGGTACCGACCGTGCAAGCTTCCTGCCAAGGGGGATAGACAAGACCAATAAGCACAATACAGACAGTGAGAGGAGCCAAGGAGAAAAAGTGATCAGGGAAAGGGGTGTGAAGTGTGTGGGGTGTGTGTGTGTGTGTATGTGTGTGTGTCTGTGAAATTTTACATACTGTAGTCTAAGAAGACCTCACTGCAAGTGCGACCTTCAAACACAGGCTTAAAGGAAATGACAGGGATAGCTGAAGTTTGGTGGTGGGAGGAGGGTACTATAGGCTCAGGAGATCATGTGTAAAGGTCCTGAGGCAGAAGCATTCCTGACATATCTAAGGACCAGCAAGGAGCTCCGTGTCTGACAGAGAAAAGAGAGTGGAGAACACGTTGTAGAGAGCTTTGTAGGTCATAGAAAGTCCCAGGGTTTCACTCTGAGTGACAGGGATTTATTGCAGAGTTTTGGGGATAGTTCTGGCCACTCTGTTGAAAACAGATCCCACAGGGTCAAGGGGAAAATCAAGGAGACCCCTACAACAATCCAGGCAAGAGATGACTCTAGCTTGGGCCAAGGTGGTAACGGGAGGTGGTGAGAAATAGTCATTCTGGACACACACACACACACTTTTTTACTACAGACACTTCCAGAGAAAAGCAGAGTACTAGAACAACACTATGGACCCACACTTCCACGTCCCACCGACTCCCCTGCTATCAGCTCTTGCACACCCCTGCCCACTCAGACTCCCCACCACTCTCCTCTACCTTCCCTCAGTGGATCTCAATGTGGGCCTTAGATAATAGGCATCAACC